GCTTCTCACAGCATAAAGGGCATACAGACTTTGCTGTGGCTGGGGCCATGGGCCTGCTTGCTGAATTTGCACTGGCACACAGTACAGCTCATGCATAGGGCTGCTTTGAGGATGGATTCAGTGCTCAGGGTTAAGCTGGAGTGTGGCAGGATCTGGTGCATGGGGTTGGGCCGGTACATAGCTAAGTCCCACAAGCAGACTAATTTCACGTATTCACCCTGTGCTGGGTCAGGCCCATGGACAACCCTCTTGCACTCATGTGTCCCACAGGGCCAGAAGGTTGAGCACTGATTTACGTGGCATACTGGAGATATGAATTGTGTTCTCAGCCTTTCCTCTGTGCCTGGCACTGGTGTTAAATACAATCCCTCATTCATTAAATAAGATTTCCTCGCATCTAAACTTTAAAGTGTCTCCTATGGTCATCATCTGTATTTAGCCTCTGGTTGTCCAGCAGTAGACTGATGTAGTGATACAAAGGGGCTACATGCATTTTACAGTTAGTTACTGTTTTGCTTCCTCTTTTAGGAGAGGCATAATCAGAATGGATTATTTCACAAATGTACCAAACAAAGCATTTAGAGCTAAACACAGTGTCTGCCTTAATACACACAGATATGGACCCTTAGGATAAGTAAGCTAATGGTAAACATAAACAGGAGAGTTAATATTTGTTCTACTTGATGCTGTTGATTGGTTTAACAAATCCTTTGTGGGCCATCTCTGTTCAACAGTTCCGCACAGCACACTTGAGCTAAATTACATAACAGCTTATACAATTGCAACCGGTAAATTGTTACTCAGATTGTAAAATTCCATCTCGTAATCCTGCCATATTTCTAAAGCAAATTGCTCCTTAATTGAAACCTACTTTGATATAAAAATACAGCCTTCTCAATGAGTCATCCATTTGTTTTTTTGATACAGTTTGCAAAGGCTTCCAACAGCTTAAAGCGAGGGTTAATTTTGCATTAAGACCATTGCCTCCCGGTTTCTTTCAAATAAAGCCGAAGGAAGTTCAGAGAAAGGCTCTTTCCTCTGGTAATGAAGCTCTCTCATGTTAATGATCCATGCAGGCTCCCTCGGATCCTCTGAATTAGAAATACTTGCGTGCGCGTGCTACTCTGCTTCATTAGCATTAAAGAGAGGTAGATTGGTGGCTATTTAGGGCAGAGTGAAATCACTGGCTATTTAGGGCAAACCAGTGCTAATTGTTTCTGGTAATTCTGTGAGTGACGTAATTCTATTTTGGTGTCAGCTTGGCAAAAGCGTGGCGAAAAGCACAAGGACATCCTTTCAAAAAGAATATGGTTTCACGTTCAGCATTACCACGGGCAATCTAAGCTTTGAATCGACGAGCAAAGATTTTTCAAGCGCTGGGTTACGTTTGTCTTTGGCATTGGTTCAGGGTTAGCACAAATGTGGGAAAGCATCTCAACCAAGACTGGAATGAAATGCATGGGGGAGAGAGGGACAGCATATTTTGGGTTAAGGAAAACTAATTGTGGAACAGACTGCCAAAGGAAGTTAAGACAATCAAGAGTCTGAGGATCATTAGGAAACAGCAGGCCCTTCCTCTTCAGAATGGCCTCTACCATAAGAATGATGCTGATAGTACTGACACATCTTTATGCCCCCCCCCCCCCAATTGAGACAACAAAACCCAACCAACTCAAGATCTATTAATAAAACATTAACATATCAAGCCAACAAGCCCTACTACAAGCTGACTTTTCCCCTCAAAATGGGAGAAAAATAGGAGAAATGCCGTGGGGATAACTATGGACTTTTCTGCTACTAATAGCTCTACCAAGAAGATACTTAGAGATTACAATGATGGACACCAGTATGAAGCCCGACAGTTTACCCAAACTAATTGATCCATCCTCGTTTGTCCATCCACTTCGATGCCTTTTAAAGGATGTTAGTTGAGAACTCCCAGAAAACTAGTCCAAAAATTAGTGTCAAATACCTGTGAGTAAAAACGAATGATGATTAAAGAATCCT